CTGAACCGTGCAAGCATTCATAGCTTCAATCTTCGATCTAGATACTTGGGTCTGGTTATCGTCGCCGAGAGGCTGGGCGTCTCCTTAAAGGCTGAAAGCAGCAGGGACACCGCTCTCTGGCACGATCACGAGAGGAGTGGGATCAGGCCCCTCATACTGATGCTTTATCGTCCCCTAAATCCCATGTGTCCCATTTGATTGCCCATCAGAGCATGACTCAAATTAGTCCTTTCAAGACCCTTCTTCCCTTTGCTGAGGTAGCTCGTTCCGCTGTTTTTTTAAAATCATTGAGTGCGGTTTAATTGATATCTATCGATTTCTGTTCAATCGTGTTCGTTTTTGTAAGTGGCCCCCGGAGGCCAAGGGAATTCGGTAAACGTGAAAAGGGATAGACTGGCGGCTTCGCAGATACCACGACAAATGCAGCTTCAGGAGGAAGGGCAGCGTGGGATGCTTGGAGGCACGTGCGCAAGCTGGCCAGGCAGCTGGATCAGGGACAGTTTTAAAGGTATAGAAAACTACACGTAACATGTAACCAGGTATGACTTGTCAGTAGGACGTTTCCTTCTGGAAGGCACCTGTACCTCGGCAAGTGCAACCTCTTCTATCCTCTATACTAGGCTGAATTACATGACTGCACTTATACAGGGGTTTGGCTCTTAAAAAACTGCAGGGAAGATCTCAGCTTCGAGGTAAAGCTGCTAGCGAATAAATTTAGCCACTTTACTGGCACAAGTTTTTGCATGTGATGGGGAAAGAGAGATGGGGTTTTACTCCATCCCCTTGAGAGAGAGCTCCAGAAATCACTCTGGAGAAAGCCACGCTCCTTATGTTACCCGTTGATGATCTGCATTGGGGCATGCCCATTTTCATTGCCCGTCTGAAGGTCCTTACCCAGAAAAAAAATGGTCACGAGCGATTTCATTCATGTTAGTCACCATCACACCTCTCCCCTACTCATGGTTTGCCTTTATCACGGTGCAAATTCTCTGTTCCTGGACTAGACCCTGGATCCGTCAGGGCGTGGGAAGGTGAGGACGAGGGTGAGGGGTGTTTAAGGCCTGAATTCTCAGAAATTATTTAGATGCTTAATTCCTTTCTAGGTTTCATAGTTTCATCGATATTAATGATATTATTCATAGGATGAAATGATATTCATCATACTTAAATGACATTCATCATACTTTTGATTGATCGTAGTCATCTTTTGCGGACTTCTTAGACATAATCTGCAGACCCCGGTATTATAATGCTCTCCACTGACTTTCTTTGCTCCTGCAGACAGGATTCATTAACCTTTTCTCCTCCGCTTTCTCTTTTTTTTTTTTTTTGCAACACTGAAAATGCACCTAAAGTTTTATTATCCCAGCTTGTCTTTTTTTACTGAACAATTCTATCTTTGGTACAATTCCTCCGTTCATTTCGATGGGGGCGTGTGCTTCATCTCGGTGTTCTTAATTTCCTGAAAACGTTCAAGCTGGAGAAATCACAGATGTGCTGGCTGCGAGCGCGGCGGTCTCCAGCACACATGGAAAGCATTAGGCACGCCGAGCCTTCGTGGAAGACAAAAACATTGCATCATCGAGATACCATTTGTCACCTCGCCTGGGTCTCCCGTAATGAACGGGGGAGAAATAAAACCACACGTGTTGTGATATCTTATCTGGGGAAAGACTTAAAAAAAAAAAAAATCCGGGTTGCTATCTAGGCCCAAGATTGCTCTCAGATGCGGCTCTCCTGCCAAGCAATGTGAGCAAGTGTTACTGAATGAGATTCAGAAAGGCAGGGGAAAGCAGAACTCCGCCTCTGCCTTTCTTGCAGCAGAATGACAGGCTGTCGGCTGGACACACGCCTGGCAGATGGCATTTCAAAGAGTTTTCATGAACCATCTGGGATGTGTACAATGATTACAAACCACACTTACAACAAAGCCAGAAGGGTTTCTTCTTGACAGGGAAAAAAAAAAAAAAAAAAAAATGAGGAGAGGCACAGCAAACTTTCCTCCGTTTCTCAGTAACAGAGGCCCGCTAAACTTGATCAGCCTTCCTCGGCTCTTGCATGGTCTAGCACGACTAATTCAGAGCATGTGTGCTAAAGGCCATCCCGACACCTTCCCGGCCAGAGACCCGCCATTGTAACGCTCTGCTGATGAACTTGAAAGAGTCATTAAGTCTCGTTATTAATTATATGCCCGGCGTCAGATTTTTCTTTAGTTTGCATTTCATTGTCTGTAGAGTTGGATGGTCTTGGCTGAGCGAGGGGTTTCGAAAGATCCCTGTGCACTTCTTCTCCGCTACTGGCAGGTCCCAACACGGCTGATGGCAGGATGCACCCCACCCACGATAAGGCGTTCAACTTTAAAACAGGAGCTGTTCATATTTAAATATACTAACCTGCTTGAAGCTTCTTGCTATTAGGCACTCATTTAGCTAATGTGACCCATGCTCTCCCATGCAATTTGCTCAGACCTGCTAATGTTGGGACGTGAAGGCAGGGATGAAGAGGTTATCGACTTCTTGTGCTTGTTATATGCTCCATAAACTTTTACTATATTTGGCTAAAGTATGCCATATTGTATAAAGGTACTTGGTGACTTTAAACACACAGTCCAACTGCTTGTGCTTCTTCGCAAGAGCATAAGGCAGACAAACCGACAGCCCTTTAGGTGACCCCATCCCTTTGGCACAGGAAAGTGAAGCGTCTCAAAAGATCGGCAGCCAACTCAGACAGCTTTCAAAATCATGCATAGACGCCAGCTGTACACTAGCTAGCTCGGGCGCTTTTAGAGCAGAGCATGGGCCCCAAACTTGCTGAGAAACTGGAGAAATACCCAGGCATTGAGCCTGTGCAGAGCCCTCTGGTGCTATGGTTCCCCCCCAAAATTGAGCTAGCTAGCTTGAAACTTGCTCAGGGTTGGCAACCCAACCGCGGCAGTGTGCTCGTACCCTCAGCAAGAATACCATG